CCCCCCCCCCCCCCCCATTTCAAGCCTTCCGCAATCCTGGGTAAGCTAGGGGGTTGCCCAAAGTGCAAGAAGCTCCTCAAATCCACTTTTGCGCACAGTGAGGCGAGCGGCTGGCGTGTGAGCTTCGCATAGGGTCCCCCCAAAACAAAGCAGTAAACCTTCCAACCTTCTCATGTGAATACTCCAGAGATGCCTTTGCTGATGCCGAATCGCTGCTCCTTTCCTTCCTGAGACTCACTCTGGTTGGTCGTGGAGTTTCCTTCCAGGGCTCCAGTACAGTAGCCCCCCTTCTCCTTCCACTCTTAGGTTGCACGGTTGCTCTGCCTCAGGACTCAAGAGGATAGATACACAACTAACATTGGGCAACGTCACCTCCAATGCGCGGCGTGTCTACTTCCCAAGACCTTTTTTTCCCCTAAACTCCTGGTTTAGGGCCCCGCCCCTGAAACCTCCTGTCACCTCGAAACCCAGAACCCCAATGTAATTATGTGAACCCATGAGCTCCCAACTCTTAGGGTGCGAGCTCCGTGCACGCTCTTCCTCCGCAGCAATGACACCAAGAACCTTGACTGAAAGAACATAAAGTTTAAAAGACGATTGAGTATCCAACCTCAAGCTTCTACAATCAACCCTACTCTAATCCACGCCGCTTTTGCAAACTTCCATGTCGCCTTTGATAAAGACTCGAACTTCCTTTCGACCAAACTAAATTGAAACCCCGTGAGAGCGCCTGGATGTGGTCCTCGCGCTGCTTCCGGGAGATGTCGGGCGTGAACTCGGCGGCAGCACTTTGACTGACAAACCCTTTAAGGCTTGCTCTTTGCTAGGGGCTCCTTTCTCGGTTTTGGGGCTTAGGGGCGTGGAAGGGTTCTGGATCTAGCTGAAGTGCTGGGGTATCCTGCTTATCCCTCCCACCGACTGTGTTGACGGTGTTGGGTGTAAGGCTTACTCTTGCCTTACGCTCAGCGGGCTGCAAGACCAATCTACACACCACATGCGGCTTTCTTGGGGTATTTCCAGCCGCTATTTCTGCAGATTCGGTCCGAACTCATTAGGGGTCCCTTGCAGCAGAGTCCCACTGTTCTTTACTCGGGTTGATTCTCCACCTGAAACCCCCACTGGCCAAAATGAAGTCTGAAAGCTGTAGCTGGCCACCATCCTATCATTCTAATGGAAGCCGCAGTCATGTGATGGATGCGATGACATCATTGCAACGACAAGAAACATCGCGATGGTCCACCATCACCAAAACAAAGTAGTAATCGTAAATATCGATCTCTCAGCAACAGGCCGCTGACCTCATATCTCCGGCGGCAGATGTCGAAATGCTCCGCGGGAAGCTGGAAAGACCGCCCTGGGCCTTCAGACGCGCACGAGGGTTTACAGGGTTTACAGTAGAGGTCCTCTGGCTTTGGTCTTCGAAGGTTTCGGCAAAGGGGTTGAAGGGACTGGCGGCACATTCCCATAACCTCCTGAGCTGCAGGAGCGATAGAAAAAGGCTTGATGGCTGAATGTTACAACTGGCCCAGACTAAGGATTACTTGTTGTTGTCCTGCTCGTGATCGAGTATGCCGGTAAACGATCGTAAAGTCTAGACGTAAACAGTAAAACTAAAGTAAACTGCAGTTTGCTATAGGCTAACTACAGTAAAACAGTTACAGTAACTGATCATGATCCACAGCTGCAGCAGCGAGCCTTCATGCCGACGCTCCACACCCACCTGCTCGGCCGGCTCAGAATTTGGGGTTTCGGGGTTTGGGGGGGGGTTTAGGTTTGAGCATCGACCTGTCCAACCGTTCGTGTGTGGGATAATATAGGGACCTGAATCATTGGAACAATGCTTTGTGGTGCATCATACGATGATGAAACAAAGGAACAATTAGCAATTACGAGCTTCACATGACCGGTTCGTTCTATGGGTATTTCAATCCATAACCCAATCATGCCTAAGCCCGCAAACTTAAGCCGCGATATCCACAGAGCGTCAACCGACCGCGATGCGTGTATGTTACCTTGCGCTTCGTGGAGGCCCTTTGGACTCCTGGTCAAATGTCGCCCCTTCACTCAACGCCAAGTCAAGATCCGATTGAATTACCTACCCCCGGCTGTTCATATCAACTGCTATAGCGGCTATATAAAACGATACCAGTACGTGTTGAGCGGTCTGAGGCTGGCACACCTGAGAAAGCTTCGTGCTGAAGGAAGCTGGAAGAGCTTAGGGTTTGGCAGCAGGGCTCAAATGCATCACACCTCCAAAACCTTCCATGACCTTCTGAGCTCTACAAGACTCTACAAAATATCTCTTCAGGCATGACCTCACACTCAAGATCAATCAATCACTAGAATACTCCCTGAGCTCTCAAAGTCGTCCTTTGGTCAGCCGATGCAGCTCCAGAAGCGCTCCATAGTCTCCTTCATGATTCTGGGACGCTTGGCCTCCACTTCCGCCATGGGCAGTCCCAGGCCGTCGGTCAAGGACGCGTGAGAGACGTGGATCGCCAGATGGAAAGAGCGGAAGTCGCTGCACTCCGAATCTGGTCGCACATAGGTGCTTGCATCTGCCACCCAGTTGTATGAAGTCAAAGCGTCGAAAGACTTATTCTTGAGCCCTGACTTGTTGACCAATCCTGCCATGGCGTGCATGTCCGAGACCAGGCGTGGCATAGGCGTCTGGCGCGTCATCAGTATTGCACTCTCAGTAAGTAGGACAGAAATGCGACGCCACTCCTCCTGGCTACCGGACATAAGAGCAGGCACGTGCCCTTGCAGAACAGTAAAGCGCCCCTTGTCCATCAAGCCGCTCGTTGCCAGAAGCTGCATGGGCAGGGTATCGTAATCACTCATCCAGCCACCACCAGCTTCCGCCATCGCCAAGTAACGCAAATAGCATGTCTTCTCGTAAGCTGGATTTGGCCCTAGCGGGATCCTGTTCAGCCGTGCCAAGAGTTGCTTGTAGAAGGGCGACTTCTTTGCATCGTCGAGGCCCAGCACTCGCGTATGCCAGCCAGCTCGCCGCCAGTGGTATTCCCAGCTTGCCAAAGTCTGTTGCCTCGGATGCTCCGAGCCGTCGGTTGTAGTTGGCTCGTAGAATGTATGCATCACCCGCGGCGTGAGCGGATTTGGGACAAACTGGTCCCGCCAGCTATCTTCGATGTGTGCAGCTCGGCATGACTCATTGCCAATTACACACTGTCGCATGTCCGGCACGTCCTGCGAGTCTCTGCATGGTACTGGACACGTGTGACCGCCCCCTGGCCATCGGCAAACATCGCCATGCAGGCCTTCGTGCACTTCCAAGACCGCCCGATGATGGCATGGGGAAGGCGTCCAAGTTACATTGCAGGACGACCACCGGTTCCACAAATCATGGGAGAGCTCTTCTAGCATCACAGTGCTGACATAGCTACCAATCCACGCCGGGTATACTGATCTCGTTTGACAAACTTCCCCGTGCTTTGTGGCATTTCGCCATGCCCCGATCTCGTCGTCAGTTGCAGACGAGACATCCATGCCCAGAAAGCCAGCTAGGGAGTGCAAGGTCTCGTGAGGATCTGCAGCCACCTCCTCAAAAAACAGCTTAAAGGCCTGAGGTTGAGAAGAATACTCACGGTGTTGAGCTTCTGTCCAGTTGGCCACAGAACGAATGCGCTGGACAGAACAATCGAATCTGCTTGAGCAATTTTTGGGACCTTTCTTGTGCAAAGCTGTGACCACGTCGCGCGGGTCACGCATGAGCAGTACAAATGTGCGAGGCTCTGTGGTGCCCTTTCTCTTGTGATGCATCGCCTCGCCATGATCTACCTCACAAAGGACCTCGGGACATCCAACCCATCGCTTGCATCGCCGAGCCACCGTGACCTTTAGGGCTTTGCAAAACCCTTTGCCATGACTTCCGGCATGTGAA